CATATGTATAATACGTACTTACAGCCGTATAGCGGTATCTGAGCTTTTGAAAGCACGACCACGCATCGCGAACCAACCGTGACGCGAATAAATATTTTCGAAACCGAACCGGCTCGTAGATCCCACTATCGAGATATTTAGATCGAGCCGGCGAAACTTTGCTTTTGGAGGTTTATTAAAAACAGCGACAGAAATTGATATTTCCTTCGAGGCACGCGTGTTCCGTACGCTTGCTTGCTTTGTGCTGACCGCCTGTAACCGATGCAGTTTTTAACCCATTGTAAACAGTCGCTAAGTCTTGTGGTACAAGTATGGGAGCCACGTATGAGAATATGTTATTTTATGTTTTCATCGCCCTTTATCCTAACACTAATATCCTGTATAAGCAGAAGCTGAGGCCACGCGTTGTGAAAGACGCCGTACGTGGAACGAGTGGCAAACGCGTTGGTTTATCGAAATAAATCCACCGAAATCGGTCGATCGTACGAGCCCGATTTTACCCTCGATTTAAGCGAAACGACTACTGATATTCCGATCTCGTCTACGGCGACGTCCGATACTCGTCACGCGAATTCTCGTAGAGACACACACGCTCCGTAATATCGCCGAGAGGGCGAACGACGCGACGGATGATCGATTCCACGGGATAAAAAGTGGAATCAGCCAAGGATCAACGAGCATCTCGCTCGAAAAACGTGTCCCTTCGCTTAAGACGATCCCTGTCAACCGACTTACATTTATCCTCCGCGCTGGCGAATATTTTATCTGCTTCGTATCGTCCTAGAAATGCGTTCACCGAATCCACCTCGAGACCCAGGGAATAATAAACCGAGAACCGACGAGGAATCGAAAAGAAAAATATCGCTTTTACGCGCTAACTGTCCTGCGACCCACATACGAACGACAGGACTTCTCCTTAAGGAACCGAAGGAATTAATTCTCGTTGAAGATCGTTACACTAACGATCCACGGAATTTCCATGAAATTGCTTATTAAATCGAGCAACTTTTTCGCGATGATTTAACGGGACCGAGGCCATTTGTCTCCGCGAATTTTATTGCCACCCGCGCTGTTAATAAAGCAACCCTGTTAGGCTTCGCCGTTCAGTAGAAACTTTCGGCATAATTTTCCTCCGCGGGAAATTCATTAGAATTTTTTCCACCCGCTAAAGCGCACATTCAATAATAAATGCTCGTTAAACGTGTAATATAAATCAAAGAAACGCGTAATAATTTCTATTACGAAATACTTTAAACTTCGTCCCTTGGATATAAAATAAAAATTCTAGATTTTATTGTACGGGTACGAACGTGTTGTTATTTAAATCTACGCTCGCGTCTGACTACGTTATTCCTAAATTGTGTTTAATAACGCGAATATTTCGCAAGAAAATAGGCGATCGATTTTGAATGAAAATGGTGGAACGCGTTCCGGACGACAGACGTGCAGCCGTCACGCCGAAAGACACGTCGGCCACGGTAATAATAATAACCGAAATATTCCGCGGTGTGCGTGGGTGTGAGCAGGATTTCGTGGGTAGTCGGTTGGCAACATGTGGTTCGACGAACGCAATCTGCCACTGACATTTCGAATTAAACTCACCGAGGACTACCCTAACCGGTAACTTTGTCGAGAAGAAAGTGCGAAAAATTCTATTCGTTCGTCTTTGGGAATAAAACCTTGTATAGTTTGAACAGTGACTCGAGAAATCGAGCCAAGTTTCGTGTATCGTCGTCTTACTTTTATTTAATATCCTTATTGCACGAGCGTAGAAGAAAAACATGTTTTTTTTTCATACAGTCGTAAATAATAGAGAGATTTAGTGATTCCCATTTAAATGCTCCGCCTCGTACGCATACTGTTTTTTGTTTAAAACTGTTTCGTCCGAGTTTGTATTTCACCGCGACATAAAAATGTCGGGATCTCGGAGGACGAGGAAGCGGGTAAGTTTAGTTACTTTGCGACGCATGGGAGTATTTAAATCAATGGTATTACAACGCGAGGCAAGGAGCAGAGGCCGCAAAAACTGCAAAAGGGTTCTTATGGCCGTAGCTTTCCAGCTTCGGCTAAGCCGATATGCATTCATTATAATAAGAAATGGAAGGCGCCGAGTGAAAAGTTTGAACGCGGCCTGGCTTATCAACTTCCTCTGAATTTTCTATTATTTAAGAGAACTCTCGTTTCGTCTTCCCTCCTCCGACTGGGGTTTCGTCCCTCTTCTTCCTCATCCCCCGTGTACGCGGCCATTCGCAGCACTCTTCCCTCGCAACCGCGCCGCGAAGGTACCCGGGCCGAGTTAGCTTAACTTTCTTCTTTCGATGCGGTGCAAAAGCTAAGATGCGCGGCATTTGAAGTTCGCCGAATGCCCATTAGCATATTTATTTGTCATTCAACGCGGCCTTAAACGCGTTTCACCCGTAAAACCGGCAACTTCCCTTCCAGGCGGATCGACTTGAGGCGTAAGCAATAACGCGCCGTCTGTCCCTTGTACGATTTATGCTCGAAATTGTATCGGGTTGTTCCGCGATATTTTACCTTCTAAAACGAGAGATAAAGACTGATCGACAATATACAAATTGAACTCGGTTGTAAGAATCGCCATAAAATCGACAAAATTTTCCTCGACATTTATTCCTATGAAATTATAAACAACAGCAATCAGCAGACAGATATTTTATAAGTATTGTCCTGTGCTACGTTCGTTGAAATATAAAATATTGTCCTTAATTATTGAGTAGTTTGAACGTAAATAAATAAGAGAAAAAACAGTATCGATGTACGCGTTAAAAATCTGATGGAGATTTAATAATATGAAAGGCACCTGAGACCCGTGGAAAAATTAATCCCGAAATCTACATGCATTCGTGTAGAACCTGTATGTACAGGATGTCTCCAAGTACATGATCCAACCCAGAAAAAAATTGATCCGTTTCAAGAAATAAATTGAGAATGTAGTGTGGAGTATTTTCTTTGGTCACGAGAATGTAAGTAATGAATTAGTGGGCGGAATGATCACTCGATTATGATTCGATTCACTCTACATTTTGGATTTATAAATTACGTACTTCCGACCAGTGCTACATGCTTTGAGACCGCCTGTATACCGTTTTAAAACCATTCTTTCGCAGCCATGTTATTTTATAACGCAATCTTCAATGCGTGCCGCAAGTTGCCGATACGATCGGGCAATAAAAAAAATGTTGCTATTTTTTACTCGCACCTCGTGGCGACAGGATATAAACTAAACGTAAGGTCGTACGCTACTGGCGGTGCATGACATAAATATCATAAATGACGCATAAAAGCATTTCGCATGTAGGCCACGGAGGAAAATACAGTCTTAAAATCAACGGAACTTTTACCGTCGGTCATCGTGAGCTCGCGAATAGAATTTACAAATATTTAAAATCGTCTTGTCGTCGGAGACACAACACGATCATGGAACGAGTTCATCTTAAATTACAAGGAATGTTCCATCATTTGTAATATAAAAAAACAAATAATTTTTTCGTTCGAGATTCTATCTTTAAAAAAGTCTAGGAACGTAAATAAACCGGATTCGAGTTAGATAATAAGATACACATATTTGTTAAACATAATATTTGGTAAATATAAAGAACCTTAGAAAATACAGTTTTTTTATATTCTACATAGTAGATTCGATTTAACTTACATTTTAAAACAGCATTCAACACCTATTACACGATCGAAAAATGGCGCCATAGAAAAGCATCCTCGGCCACCATGCGGAAACTGGCTGAAGTTGTTCGCTCGTCGACGAGCTCTGCAGACATAACAGGAAATCGGTCGATAAATAAATATTGTAATTCTTTACTACTCCAACCTGTCCTCTAGCGTAAAAGTGTATAACCCTGGAGTCGTTGTCGATCAATACATACTACCAACAAATATTACATCGATAGTAATTCAATAAAAATTGTATGATTTTGTTCTTTGATTACTTCCCATTGTATAAGTTGTAAATTAAATACTCATTGATCTTTCTACAATTTTCCGAAATACCTTCCTATTTTATAACATTAATGTTCTTCTTATATGTATAATTTTTCCTGAAAAGAGGCAATCATAAATTGGCCGAAATGTAAACAATATAAATATTTCTTTTTTCTTTTTTCGATATCGCATCGAGAATTGTCCTAAAGACCAATGAATATTGAATTTGCAATCCATATCATTGCATCAGTAATTTTTAACTCCTCTTACCTAATTATTGTGATGTGGAAAAGAAAAAAGAATTTACATCCAGGGAACATAATCGAACATGTTTGATTTGTTTGAAGATTAGAAGCAAGATTCCGAGCCACGAAGCTTCATATTGGCAGCTTTATATCTACGAGGGTACGATCGTCTCAAAGTACATACTGTCTCTCTTCTCGACTACTGGGGGTGAAATTCACTGTTCTGGAAGAAAAGCGACTAAGCTAGCTTCCTCGCGAACATGACAATGTATTTTATTGCTTCTCCCACTTGAATTCCAGAAAAGAAATGCTACTTTAAATATTGCGCACGGTTTAGCAATAGATAAGTCACCTCAAATCCTCGAGCGTGCGATCCATAGATTGCGTAAACATTCGATGGAACATTCTCGACACGACAAGATAAAAACTAAATAAACGATATTGATTGTAAACTCTTTTACTGGCAAACTCTTCTAATGAACCAGTATGTTGCGTAAAAAAGTCATGAAAATCTGTTCCATTGAAATATTTATTGAAATCTGAAGAAATGCAAATATGCCATTCCTGGATATAGACTCGCATCTGATCGTAGACGAATTCAATCGAAACAGAGGCTACATATGCAAATTGATACGCGTTTCCATCTACATGTGGACTGCATATTCTGATTCCTCGGTAATATAAAAAGAGGTAGATAAGAAGAAAGCGGGAAAGTTACTTTTAATGTAGATATATTCCTACAGAGCACTAATTCAGCAATGATAGTGGCGACGCCAATCTCGCGAAGAGAAGGAACAGCAAATAGCAGTGAACAACGTGCTTGGCCCATTTTAACTATAGAACTGCCGAAATATGATCGTTCATATTGTGTAATTTATTAACAGTGAATATACTTCTTCTCCGTTTCATTGTTACACAAAAATAATACAAATATTGTATTTTTATAACCGAACCAGTTTTTTATCACATTTTCACGCGAATAAAAAATAAAATTAGTGATAACTCCAACGTCGACCCTTTTTACTGCCGACACAGATCACCGGAGCCTCATGTCTCTTTGCTGGTATTGTTTTTAATGTTTTATACCGCGTATGGATTTAACCATGGATGTTCAAAATGAGGTACGATATATTTGTCTAAATGTTTAGTGGCTAGGGCATACAAAATTATAACTACTTGCAACGATTGTACCATCCATCATAAGATTTGAGGTTAGGCTTATGATTACGTGATAAAATTGAAAGTATTATTGATTATAGAACAAAATATAACCACTGAAATATCTTCCTTAAGTTCAAACAATGTAACATATTTTGTAAACTTAAAAAAAAATACGTTTACCTTTAAGAAACATCATCAGTTATTATGTAAACTAATATTAATTTATATTAATTTGTAATCTTATTCAAACTTTAACATGTTTATTTTCATAATGAATTATTAAGAATCTTTTAAGAATATATTAATATATATTTAGTTTCAAAGGAAAAATGGTCATGAGGTAACACTGCTGACTATTTATTGATTGACCCAAAACTGTTTGTGAACATTATGTATCTTTTCTACATAATCAATCTTTATAATTTAAATAAATATTATAAAAATAATTCTTATATGTGTATTCTTGTATTACAAAAAATGTTTTTTTACAGATGTATTTAAATGCTTTCATTTCATTGCTGTTTAGTCATCATAAAAAATTATAATCATCATGCCATTTTATTTCAGCTTGATTTTCAATTTTTGGATCTACGTGATTTAAATGACAATGATAAGAATCATTTACTAGGAATTTTGAAATCCAATGTCACTACAGATGCCTTAAAATTACCATGGGATACAATTGAAACTAACAATGATATTGATGCTTCTGTAACAGAAATTCCTCAGCTACAAAATCAATGGTATCACAATGGTAATTGTATTAAAACAATTATATCTATGTTTAAATGGCAAGGTTAAAATTTTAAAATATCATACAAGATGAATTGTATGACTAATTTATTTTTTGTAAATTCTATATATGAGAAATTGGTATAAAAATGTCATCATTTATTTAGCAATGCCACCACCACCTTCGTATACACAGCAAATAATGTGCAGTGACTGGCAGGCACCACCTATGTACCCTGTTCCAACAGATGCCCATATACAACCATTCATGCCTGCGATGACTTATTCACACCCTGGATACAATCTTGGAGGTGAAATTCATGATGTCAACTGTAATAGAGAAAATAATAGGAGAAATAATCGAGGCAGAGGAATAAGGAGAGATAATTTTAATCATGGAATGAATCCAGCAAACGATATACAGCCAGGATACATGGGAGAGCAAGGACAATTTCACCCACAGTTATCTTTTGTAGTTATGTATCCAGATCAGACGCAGCAACAGCAGTTCTCTGGCCATGTTCACTATCCACCATTAGCAATATACCAGCCAAATCTACATACGCATACAACTACACACCCGCATGTACAGCCTACGTATGGATACCCTCCATACCATCATCCTTCTGGTAATATGAGATGTGTTCGACAACCAGCACCTGTGCTTTCTCAATCTACTCAAGAGTGTACAAAAGTACAAACCGCAAAATCGCACGAAAAGCGTGTGCAAAATGTCTACACGCCTGTCAAACAACCTTTTCACCAAATAAACGAAGAGGATAATTCTTCACAGACCAACATAGTTACTACAGTGATAACTGTAAATAACAGTAAAGTAGAACAGTGCACTGAGAATGTGGATGAAAACACTGCCAATAGAAAGAATTCAAATACAAATGGAAAAGTACCCCCTGTAAATGTAAAAATAGAACACAATATTGTATCAACTGTAAATGAAAATTGTAATGGAGCTGAAAAAAATGATGTGCCATGCGTAAATATTAACAGTAGTATCGAAGTAAAACAAAATGGAGAAACTGATAAAGAATACAAAAATGAAACGGTTTCCAGCATTAAAACTACCGTCGTTAAAACGTTATCAAAACCAGTTTCTAAAGGTGAAAATGAAGCACAAAAGGAAGACACTCCTGCAAAGAGTGTACAAGACGAAATTATTAATAAAACGCTCAATGCTTCTTCTACTACCACAAGTACTCCAATAATTGTACCCACTACAACATCTTCTAATGTATCTAGCATATCTTGGGCTAGTATTTTGAAGAAAGGAAGTGCAGAAACACAATCAACTCCATTAAATTATAAACCTATGGCACGCATTAATCCTCTACCAGTTAGTCCAGTCACAGAAAGTAGTGTGGCTCCAAAACCACAGTTACAATTAGAAAAAGACCAACATACTGATACAATGGTTTTTGTAAATGAAAATGTTTCATCCAACTCACAAAATGTTGTAAATGAAAGTAAAAACTTACAAACGGAATCATTGCAAAACCGTTATAATGATCCTATTGCTTTCCGAATGGGTGGTATGTATTATTTGTAGGGGTGTGCCGAGAACCCGAAATATTGGGTCGGATGGGGAACACAAACTTTTTTCGAGTCTCAAAAATTTTCGGGTAACCCGATTCTTTCGGGAGTCTCGAAATATTCGGGAACCCGACCCGACTCAACCTTTTCCTGATTCGTCCCGACCATCGGGTTCTCGCACACACCTAATTATTTGAATAAAGCTAACAAAGATATCATGAACTGCGAAATAATCGTTTAAATTTATCTTTCTAGAGTTCTTATTAAACTACCACATGGATAAACAAACTGTAAGTTTATTACCACGGGGATTAACAAATCGTAGCAATTATTGTTACATTAATAGTATATTACAAGCCTTGCTTGCGTGTCCACCTTTTTATAATCTTCTAATGGCTCTACCACATTCTAAAAGTCCCAGTAAAATGTCTTCCACTCCACTTATTGATAATATGTAAGTAAAAAATAGTTTCTTACATTTAACATAACATGTGTTGCTTTTCTTAAGTATAATTAATAAAACATGTTCGTCTATTTTTTATACAGGATAAAATTTGTACACGAATTCACACCTTTGTCAGATGGTGCACGATTGGCTAGAAAAGATAGAGCAAACAAACGGGGAGAGGATACGGTAGTAGATATACAAAGTGGAGTGGCCTTTGAACCTTCTTATGTATATACAATGTTAAAAAATACGTCAGCTGCGGGTGTATTTTCTGTGGAAGGGCGCCAAGAAGATGCAGAAGAATTCCTTTCGTGCCTTCTGAATGGTATCAATGACGAAATGCTCGAAGTATGAATATTTTATTATTCATTCTAATTTATATCCAACTAGTACAGTTTAAATAAATGGTAATTATGTATTTTAGCTTATTAAATTAGTAAATAACGACCAAAACGTAACGACTAATGTTGAAACTAATATGAACTACAACAATGGAGAAGAAGAATGGAAGGTAAACACATTTTTCCTGTTAAACGATAAAATAATTACCTACAAGAAACAAACATTAATATTAAGATACTATAGGTTATGGGCCCAAAGAATAAGGGATCTATTACACGCTGTACTGAATTTGGAAGGACACCATTATCTGATATATTTCGTGGTCAATTAAGATCTAGAGTATCACGAGCAGGAGAACAACCAACAGATAATGTCCAACCTTTCTTCACATTGCAACTTGATATTGAGGTATTTATTTTTTAAACGGCTCTTTGTAAAAGCATCGTACAATTATGTATTGATAAACTTTTTTTTCTCTTAGAAAGCGGAATCTGTGAAGAGTGCACTCGAAATTCTTGTCGGAAAAGATCAATTAGAGGGAATGACGTGTAGCAAAACGAAACAACAGATAGAGGCTTGGAAGCAAGTTACATTAGAAGAATTACCGGTTATCCTTATATTACACTTAAAGTGGTTTGACTATAAACTCGATGGTTGCTCAAAAATCGTGAAAAGTGTGGAATTTCCCGTCGACTTAAAATTAGATAGCAGTGAGTAATCAATTTATTGTCATCGTTATTCAATTAAAATGTATGCAACACGTTTCAAATTGATTTACAGAATTCCTGTCTCTAAATGCTGCTAAAAAATTAAATCCAAAACAAAAACACTACAAACTATTCGCAGTTACTTATCATGATGGAAAAGAAGCAACAAAGGGCCATTATGTTACGGACGCTTTTCACGTGGGATATGGTGGCTGGGTCAGGTATGATGATAGTTCTCTGAAAGGTGTTTCCGAAAGTAACGTATTAAAGCCAACTCCTCCGAGAGTCCCATATTTATTATATTATCGAAGATGCGACACCATCGGAAATAATCAGTCAAATAGTGGTAAAACGCGTTAGAAAGGAAAGCATTAACATGTAGGTAAAACTATATTTTAAGTCTAAAGAGGCAGTTTGAAAGAATGGCTTTTACAGTTTTGTGGTTCTTGTTGATATTTGTATCTAAATACAGAGAATGTTTATTATCCAATATCATGAAAAAATAGAAAGCTATTTCCATTTAACATGCTGTACTTCCATCGAATATTTGTACTAAGATTGTTGTTACGAGTTTTATGCATAGTTTTCTTGGTACACGAAATAAAAAGATAATTAAAGTTGAAGTTAAATAAGAGTTTTGATTTTGGCACTCATAGTTCTATTGAAGTTACATAATTAAGCGCTTACACATTACATGTTATGAAAATATTAAATGTCGAAACTCTCTTGTACATATCTTTCTTATCTGATTGTGAGTATACAAGATGTGAGAAAAAACATACACGATAACTTTGTAAAAAAAGAAAACGAAAATAGAGAAAAAAGTTTTTCTACTTTAATGACAAAATTTCTATGAAATGCAAATTTTATATATATCTGAAAAAGAACATCTTATGCCTTAAGTTATTTTTGTATATAACCTTCCTGCACACTTATAAATATACATTCCAACTTGCCAATAATTTCTTCATTTTATACATATATGCTAATTTAATAACTTCTTTCTTATCGTGAAAAAAGTTGCTGAAATACCAACCAAATATTATGTTTCATTATTTCCAGTATCATTTTCTGGATTTATACATGTAAATGGAATGAATGCTTGAAAGGAAATTGAAAAGTTTTCAAGGTAAAGAAATAATTGGTAAGATGGAATACTAACATCGCTAGTGAGGAAAATTGTATAAACAACACAAAATTTATGTACAAAACTACATTGTATGTGTCAGATTTGCATCTTTAAGTACCAAAATTTTTGATAGAAAAAAAAAAGCAAAAAAATATTCATATATTCTCCTTTTATACATGTTAATGCATGTAAAGGCATGTTTTTTATTTTTTGCGATAAATTTAATGAACAAACTAATTTAAATTTCAAGTAATAAGAAACTGATTGTATTGCGATTTTTAAACATAAAATTGCTTAAATTATATTAGGATACTCATTATTAAAATATGTGTTAAAATTACAAGTAGTTTATTGGTTTCATACGAATAAAATGTTAATTATTTTGTTTTGCTTTGGGTTAATGAAAGTTTAATTTTGTAACTTTACTGATTCTTTTCTTGTTTTTGGGTATAAACTATTTTAATTTCTTATAATTTAAATAATATAATATTTATATGTAAGTATAGTAATTTGGTAAAGCAGCAAAGTTATAGAATCCCATTGCAAAACATCTTACATACATTATTTACATGTTATTCACCAGATAATGTAGATAAGAAATATTCTAAGTAAAATTTCACAGTTGTAATTTATGCGATAAAATACAAAATAATAGTTTTCATTTACTTCCTATGGAAATGTAAATATATATCTACAGTTTATAGAAACTAATAAAAGTATGTACATATGTTATAAAACGTTTGATTATCATTTATTATAAAATATTGTCGAATGTTTAGATTTAACTTTTTACATTATTATTAATCCTTTTTACCATATTACAATAAAAATACTTGAAATTTATGCAAAATTTCAATGAAGTAATATATTTTAATAAACAATACACAAACAGAAATCTTTGCAATACTTCCATTAATAGTGTATTTACAATTTATTAAACTGCACTATACTTATTAATTACAAATGAGATCTCTAATGAATTTTATCATATATTATGTAGTATTCAAATAATTTGAATAAACATTCGGCAAAAAGAATCATACTTGCTACCAATGCCAAACATGTATACAGCATACATTTAGAAAATGAGAAATGCTAGAAATGTGGCAAACAAACTTTGCCTGCAAATAATTCTGAAATTACAGTAATCCACAAAGCTAAAACAAAGAGGATATAAGAAATTCCAACTTGGTGCGAATTAGGTAACTGATATGGTTGTCCACCAATTTCATCAATATGGAAACCCATTGGAAATATAACTGCTGCTAGGCAAAACAGTACCACTGAAATCGGATTTTAACTTTTATAATTCATCGACAATTTTAACATTACAGAATAATTTTATTCACTACCAACACTTACTAGCTGTAAATCCCACCCATCTTGCATATGGAATAACATTGCGATCCCAATGGGAACTAGCTAGCAATATTATAGTTGCAGTTATCAAAATGCAACCAACAAAAATACAGACCAAAGCCATTAGCCATTCTGGCTGTAAATCTGGACTATAACAAACTTGAGGTCTATTGTATAGTGTCATACAAGACCACATTAGTCCTAACCTTATATCTCCTGTAAACATCAAACAGTAACAAATTGGACAAACTAAGAATAAAAACCAATTGCTGGTATAAATATATAACGAAGTCTCTAACTTTGTAAACAATTCGTGTAGAATACAGTTAATATCTATAATTATGGAATTGTGTAATTAAAATTTACACCATTACTATAAAAAAAACCGACAAATACAGTGTATTTATAATTGCTCACCACCAACATCAGTAATAATCCAATCAGGCATAGCAAGACTGACGATCGCGAATACATCAGCAGCGAGAAACAACGTTCCCGAGATAATAGTTAATTTATCCATTTTGAATCAATAGTAATTAATTTATTTCACTTTAATATACTGCTGGTAACAAAAGTTGTTACATGAATATTACACTTTCTTTCTATTCCAAAATCATCTTTCGGGAAACAAACGTGCCATTTGCTTCTCCATATAATGATCATAACAGTTTATTGTTGGTATGTGGATAATTTCCTAACCTAACATTCATGACACTCCATTTGTAAACACAGAACAAAATATACACTCGTCGTCTAACAATGCGCCTCCGTCACTCCTAGACAGTATGGCCAATTTTGCCGTAATTCGTGTATGCGCGACCGAAAACAACACATGCATAGCTAATGCTATAAGTAATAAAGTTTAACTACAAACGAGGCATGGACTAAATGTAGCAATCAAAGGGGTTGGAACACCAAACTCATTAAAAATTGGTACATAAATAAACAACTTGTATCCTATTATTTTTACCAACGAACAGTAATCACGACATGTGGATGGTAGCACAGATGATATACATATACAAGTGGACAGACCATTTAATGTATTTTTTCCGACCATTTTTCTGGGACTTTAGAATTCGATAATTATTTCAGCTTTACTCGTAACATTACCAACAGAATATAGAACAAGATCATAGCGCTTATTATGGTAGGAAATGAAATTGCAAAAATTCTTTCGTTCCTCAACATAATGAAAGCAGAGTCGGGCATCAATCAATTAATTTCATCGACGTAATTGATCGATTAATCGATCGTATATTTTTTGTCTTAGGACGTGATTAGGGACCAGAGGAATCAAAATAGCATGCGACTCACCAATTGTAGAATTCAAGCACCCGGACGACAAGGTTGGCTAGTAGAAATCATCAGCGAAGTCGGCAATAATGTCAGCAACAAAGTCAGCAACGTAGTTAGCAGCGAAGTCGTGGGCATCGCCAAATATGCTCAGTGATGCACTGACTCTATTATCGCGATTCATAAAGCAAAGAGAGCGCCGTTGCTCCCAACAAAATTTACGAGAACGCAATACACACTGACTCGAATTTCGCGTGTCCCTAAAATCAAAACTCTAAAGGACGCAAGCACTGAATTTACTGATCGCATTGCGCGCGGTCATCAAAATTTCTAATTGAAAAAAAAAATTGATTTAGTATTAAATTTAATCGATAAAAAGACGGAAAAATGTAAATATGTATAGGTGCATACTCACTTGTTATAATGAAGCTGATTTTACCAGTATCCAACTTGAAATTTCTTCGATTCCATATTTCGAAGCATCAATGGCGGCCATCCATTGCATGCCGGGTAACGTCCCTTCCAGCCGAATTGCAGCAAAGTCTGTAACAGAAATAAAAGAAAAACTACGATTTAATGCTTAAAATAAATGTATTTATAATTCAATTAAACATCGACTGAACCCGAAATATGGTCTATGAATTGATAATTACGATTACAGATATCATAATTGATGTCGATTAGACACGTAAGAGAACGCGCGATCCTGACTCGACTTTTTTCGCGATTCTGGTTGAATTTCTAATAGACACGTGTTAATATTACATGAAAACACCAAGAGAGATTAAGGGAGAGTACTATGAGCGATTCGGAACATTTAGATTACAATAAATAAAAAGTATATACCTAATTAGACGCGAAGCCTGCCACTGTACTTCATCACCGGACACATTTACCGCGCCAATTGGGTAGCGAGGAGTGGGGAGTGGGGTGAGGGAGTCACGTAGACGTAGAGGGAGTTTCGAATAACTAAAAATAAATAAAGTAGATACGAAAAATAAATGAAATAAATACAAAAAGATACCAAACAAACAATTAATTACTTAATTGTTATACTCGTTATACTCTTGTGACGTCAGAATGCAAGCCGGTCATTGGCTCTGCTTGAACATTGAATATCGATCTGTTATTAGATGCACAAATTACTAGATCGATTGAAATATCTACTTAATAATATATTAATATATTAATTTTTAATCGAAATTTTAATCAATGCTTTTGATATAAATTTTGTGACTTCAACAACAGACGAAAAATATGTATATGGTAGAATACACAAAAATATTAATTTTTCACGACTTCAATAATATTTGTTAGAAGTAATTTTATTCTTATATACCATTGCTAGCATTCTTACGCCAGGATTAGTAATCTGATACACTTGCTCGGTCAGTTGTGTTTATATTCTCGGTCGCCGGTCTCTCGACTTCACCTTGGAGCTGAACTCACGAAATCCTTGTCCGTGTGTCACGAAAAAGTATTATTTTACACGTCTCACTATGCATTATCTGCGTCCTTAATCCGTGTGTTACGGAAAAAATTTACTTCTGACGTCTATTACATAATGGGTCTATGCCTGTACCAGACTCTTTACCACAACTATATCAAGTTCAATGTTACCGACACCGCGTCAAAAAAGATTGGTATGCAAATCTAGTGACAATTAAAATAAATATCTTTAGAAAGTTTAGTAGAAATAAAAGAAACTTTTATATAAGAAACTGATTGCAATTTACGTTGAAAGTTAGTATTCACACATTACATGTTTCTATAATTGTAATTAATATATTTCAATCGATCTAGTAACTATGCATCTAATAACAGATCGATATTCAATGTTCAAGCAGAGCCAATGACCGGCTTGCATTCTGACGTCACAAGAATATAACGACAATTAAGTAATTAATTGTTTGTTTGGTATCTTTTTGTATTTATTTTATTTATTTTTCGTATTTACTTTATTTATTTTCAGTTATTCGAAATATAAAGTTTAACTTTTCCTTCTAAATATACATCGAGAATCGAGACGGATTACGCGACTCCCTCACCCCACTCCCCACTCCTCGCACGGTAGACGTGTCCGATCCTGTTCGTCATTCTTCGTCTGGAAAGTGGTGTGATAAGTGCGTTGACAGTTTCGCGTCTAATTAGGTACGCATTTTTTATTTTTAACCGTTTCTATTCTCTTCGTCATTCTCCATCGATGCATTTATACAATATTAATAAGTGTCTGTTAACAAATTTGTGTTTTATTTCTATTAGAGCCCGTAATTACAATTCAAACACATGAGACGCTTCATTACGGTCAAACGCATTTTTCATTTTTAAGCGTTTCTATTCTCTTCGTCATTCTCCATCGATGCATTTATACAATATTAATAAGTGTCTGTTAACAAATTTGTGTTTTATTTCTGTTACAGTCAAAATTACAACTCAAAGACATGAGACGCTCAAGTACCGTCAAACTACGGTGGAACTACGGTCACGCAATCGACGCGACGCCATAATGCTTTGAGAGTTTGTGAACATGTTTCGACAGGAAACCTGTATCTAAGCGAAAAGGAGTATTTGGCGATGCCCACGTGCGAAAAAATGTAAGTATCCTTCGTATTTTGTTCCGAGTACGCTTAAAAAAATTCTTTGATTCAAATTTTCCTGCATCAAGTTTTCAAATACGGTAGAAACCTTTTCGTTAAAACATTTACTCTTTCTTTCTACAGGATCCTGACATCTCATTATCGTACTTGTGGATCCAGAGAAACTCGGCGATGATTTCGCTGCTGACATTGATGCTGATTTCGCTGATGACTTCGCTGATGACTCCTACTAGCCAATATCGTCGTCCGGGTGCTTGCATTCTACAGTTGGTGAGTCGTATGCTATTTTGTTTCCTCTGGTTCCCAACCATGTTGTAAATAAACGGACGATAAATAATTTCGCGTTTTTTTTCAGAGTAGTGTAGCGTAGAAATACTGATCTCGGATTGCATTAGTGCTGCGAAATGTAAATATTATCGCGATTTTGATTACTTTTAGAGTTGCGATTGGTTATATTTCTCGCGTTTGCTTTTGGTGTAGCGTTGCAAATAATCGCGTTTGTTTTAATTTAGAATTACGACATACATATAGAATGCCCCAAAGGCTGTTCTTGATTATTAATCGCGACTTACTTCCGACGAATAAATTTTCATTCAATCATATCCGTTAATCGATCGATTACTTCAATGAAATTAATCGATCGATGCCCAATTCTGCTTTCATTTCGTTGAAGAACAAAAAGACTTTTTGTAATTCCACTTCCTACCATAATAAGCGCTATAATCGTTTTCTATAGCCTGTTGGTAATGTTACGAGTAAAGTTGCAATGATAATGGGGTTCTAGACCTCCAGAAAAATGGCCAGGAAAAATACATTGGATGTAGCGTCGACTTGTATAGCTCGTCTGTAACTTGTGTATCTCATCTGTGATAATTTTTCAATCAAAAAGACTGTTCAAGAACTTGAAAGATAAAGTTGGTTAGCCCTCTGGTGACGACTACGGTAGTTGTTATCATAGAATCGTAAAAAATCGGAAGAAGGGTTAGGTTAACGTCGCTAACCTCAAATTGGTGTGTTTATCATCATAAATAAGTGAGAATCTGAGAATCCTAGTGTACTTGCATATCGTAAAACGTAGACAGTTTCCGCTGAAAGAAAGTCGACGACATGGTAAAGATAGCGTTGAAAATAAAAGCTACCCTACAAAGCATAGATGAGGTGAAACCTTCGGGACAAGACTTTAGATGGTACCTAAAGTTTACTTGCAGCAGTTGTGGTGAAAAATCCGAAAAATGGAATTACGCGTCTTTGAGCGAATCTACTCCTCTTCAAAAACGAAACGCAGTTACTCATTTCACGAGCAAATGTAAACTTTGTTCTCGCGAAAACTCCATGTCCATTTTGGAAGATACTGTAAAGTCGTACAAGATCGAAAAGGAAGGCGAGTTTCAAACGATAGTGGTATTCGATTGCCGAGGTTTCGAACCCAATGATTTTTCACCAAGAGATGGATGGATTGCTAAAACTGAGAATCACGGAACGACATTTACAGATGTAGATTTATCCGAAGGCGAATGGTCAAATTACTGTGTAAAGACTAAGCAAGTCGTAGGAATTTATGAAGTCGAGCATAAGTTTGAAAGAGTTAAGTAAAAGAAGTTTGTTATTGAATCTCAGACATGCATTACTTCTAAGATTGTTATGGTTTATCGCTGTCCTGTAAGATAACGATTAGGTTTATAGTTACCATAAGATGCTCTATTACAAATATGGATTCCAGATATATTTTTACTATGTAGAATTGGTTTCTCATTTTGTCATTAGATAAGTATATTACGTATGTATGTCTTTATAAATAAAATTTCAAATCTGTATTTTATGTACTTGTTACTTTGCCTAGATGCTTGTAAGCACCAAAAGGTGCATCTGTCTAGTCTGTATTTATAATTTTGCAATTTCTTATACACTGAATAGGGGTGTAGGATACTGTTGACAAAATCACTACACTGTAAGCCATTCGAATTTAGTTTGTACTACCGTTCTGACGGGAATAAATATACCAGGTTGCAAGAACAATCTCTAGGAAATAAATCGACATTTTCAACGATGTAATACAATTTATTTAAAAATGTCCACTTACTTTCATAAGTAAATGAGCCTCAGTACACTCACTGTAGGTAACCACTGTTGATCACTACTGTTGACTAGTGCTGACACCCAGTGAGGAATGTTTAAGCCTCGACCTCTTCTATTTATAACACTTCCGTATTTATCGGTTTATTTGATTTTATAATTTGATCCTATTTTAACTTTATTTAATGGCTTATCTATTTTTGGTTTATTCTTATGAATGATTTGTTACCCCTTAGTCGGTTATTAAATCGAAAGAGATTTATAATACATTTTGTTTAATATTTTACTATTTTAGTAAAAGTGGAAAAAGATGATTCATTTTCAAATATTTTCCTAGTTGGTTTACTTTATTTTTTTATTATTTCATGAATGTTTATGACTTTTTAGGTAGTTCTGAATAGTAATCCTCTTGTTTCGACCCCAAAGGGGTGTGTGTAATAATTAAGCAGCTTCGCAGAGAGTTCTCATTCATATAGTCCGATGGTAAAAATCAATCGCTTCCAATATTTACGCGTACTCGTTAATATTTTCGGTGTTCGTGAAAGCACAGGGTAGTATGTAGTACGCAGAGAAATATTGATTCGAAAAATAACTCGAACCGCTAATTTAAATAATTACATTCCGAGCGTTTCGGTTTCAAGCTATACTGCCCACTCTCATAAATTGCATTTTAATTAAAATCTACTTTTCCAAGCTTGCGTATATCGATTAAAGTAACCGTAAATTATTGATTTTGTTAAAAATAAGCGAAATATTGATTTCCGTAGTTCGAACATTTCCAGTATGATGAAGCAACTAAAACCAATTGTCCGAAGGGGATTCTCTATTTGTTCGTCAACGTTCAAATAATATCAAATCAAGTAATAGGGAACGAAAGTAACTAGTTAAATATTATTAAATATAGCATAGATACACACGCAAGTGTTGGATACAGGCTGAAGAATATCAATTAGGAAACATACATTAACGCGTTAAAGAATCTAATAATGTCAAGGAAAGATGTATCTTTTACTTTTTTCATTTATCTAAAGAGCACGTAGTTTTCGTAACAGAATGCTGTATATCCGTTCGAGTACTATGAAAGCATAATAAATGGATAGATAAGTTCCGATAGTAACAATCGTATCTAGAAACGAAGGACTTTGTTGACAACGAACGAGAAAAGTTGGCGGTACACAGACCGGACAACGGCCCCTGAGTGTACTCGGTTTACTTTTTAAATAGTTTACGACTAATTTTAACCAGGCCGCTGTCTTATTGTGTAACTGACCTATACCGACACTGCTTGCCGTCCTCCTTGATTTTCCTTTTCTTCCTGCACACCCGGCTGTCCTCGTTGTTGTCGTTAGTTAAATTAGAACGAGAACTCGAGCGGTCGAAGAAACGCGACGCCCCACAGTGGCAAATTTGCCCGAGAATCGTGGACAAAAGCGAACAAATTTCTTATTTCTTTGAAAAATCTGCGCGTTGCATTTTATTTAAGAATCATCGAACCCTAATTTTTCATCAAAGTCAATTTTCGTCGTGCAATTTTATAGATACGCGGATTCAAAGTTGATAGTTTCCATCGACGATAATTCGATTTGATCCTCGTGCACGTTGAATATTTTCAGGGGAAACGCAATAACACCGAATACCATCGACGATTTTACTTCCGTGGAAAAAGAACAATATTTAAATCGAGTTACGTGTAACGAGCGGTAACGATTCCTTGGTATTTTTGTTTCGCGCGCTGGAACGCGGAGCGTCGTCGCGTGCACGACAGCTGACTAACCTGCGTCGCGTTGGAATTTTTTTAACCGTGAAAAAGAGTCGTGCTTGCAGCCCCGCGCGATAAAAGAATAAAGACCAGCGAGAAAAAGCATGTTTCGTAAAAGTTCGTGGGAAACGTAGCATTGAAAGAGAGAGGCGGCCGCGAATAATTTGCTTCTCGCAACAGTGACTGCGATAAGGGTCATAATGCGAGGCAATGAGAGCCGTTGGTGCATGTTTATCGTCCTACTTGTACGAAGAAACGTCACATTTACCAGAGGGCGACAGGAACCTTCTGCCGTAATGCTTATCTCGCGAACCTTATCTGTGTTTTCCTCTAAACGGGCTAACAATTCCGCGCCTACGAAAAGTGGGAACGTATTTCAGGACACCTTCTCGCTACCAAAGTTCTTGGTGGTAGAAGTTGCAAACTACGTCATATTTATATCATTTTCTTGCTTTAATAGGTTTCGCGAATGTTATTACGTTTTATTACAAAATCATTATATTCTTGAAATATTAAATGATGCATCCACAGTGTTATCAATGTCTATTCCTAAGTGTTTTAATAATTAGCTAGATGAAGATAATTCTGAATTTCCTACCACTCTGATTTTATACAAGGACGTCTAAAACATTTAGATCTTTTTGTACCGCTATCCTACTAGTGTCACCTATCGAAACGCAGTGAAATTACTAACATTAACCCTTTTATACCAAGGTGGGATAATCGTTCTCTACCGAGGACTTATTCATCGGTATATTAATTACCATTACAGTATATTTATTTGAACATTCATTCAACGAAGTTATAGAGGACATACTTAATGCTATCGATCTTCCTCACAGCACTCCATGCTTTTGAAAGGGCAATTATCGATGCAGTTGCTTCATTATAATTTTATTGCCGTCTCATTGGGAAATTCGCATTCGTCATGGAACGACTCAACGCGTCAGGATATTTACGTTGGCGATAGATTGATTCGTTACGAAACTCCCGATCGCCAGAATCGATGTAAAATGTTGCCAATAACGCGTGACGGCGCGAAGGAACGGCGGTAGCCGTTTTGATCCGACTACCGGTCGGAGATTAAACGTTCTGTTGGTCAATTCTCCGTCTACGTCAGTCAGTGTTTCTTTTAGGTTTTTCTCGGGGATCGCAGGTTCCGCAATACTTGTATCCTTGATGGTTTCCCTTGATCGCGACAAGACCGCCTGTACCGGGTGCCATTAGTTCCTGTCGCGGAGGAAGATGAATCTTTCGGGGTTGCGCAACAGTCGTTGTCTTTCTTTACTTTAATTACACGTCGTCCTGGGAAGGGTCCCAGAGTGTTTCCTACCATTCTGCCATCGCAAGGTCTTTTCTTTTGTAACCGAGACCTAACATTCTTGAGAACGTTCGTTTCGCGCGCGTACACAACGCCGGACGGTTGTTTCTTTGCTCGCCAGCGGCAGAAAACCGCGATGGTAACGTCGATCGCGAGCTTCGTTATCGCAGACCGGAAATTTTTCGGGAACTTTCCGCGCGGACGATCGAATTTAGCCTTTCATTGTTCGACACACGGCGAGCGCGGTTAGGGGAAACGTACGTACAGCGAGAAGAAAGGCTTCGTTTCGTAAACGTGGGACTTGGATCGTTGCATCCATTCGCGGTAGATAGACGGAAACCAAAGTTCAAAACCACTTTTGACGTCTCCGACGGGGAATCGTCCGACGCACAGGTAAATAACCGGGAATCGTCTGCTAATTCGATTTGCCGTCCCCGCTGTCAAATCCAATTAACGGTGAATTACCGGGCTTCCCGGATAATCGGCCGCTACCCGCAATCAAATTTGACGCGTTGCTACGTCGAATTCACGTTCCGATCTTCGATTTGCCAAGCATCGACAAAGATTATCTTGTATATTGTTAGTGGGGACATGTAGGAATACTAGCGCGGTTGGAACTACTTGTTGAATTGTTCTGTATTCGGATATTCGAACGCTAAGGCGATTCGAATGTACGAGGAAGTGCCTGAGAAACGAATCGATTCGTTCGAAAAGACGCGCGTTGCGATGGTTTTTTCGACGGTGTTAAAAAATTGAAAATCATTGACTCGAACGCATGAAATGCAAAAAGTATGAAGCAATCGCTCGAATGAAATCGAACAAATTTTTCGCATTAATGGGGAGTTTCAGGGTCCTGCGGTTCTTTTTTGTATCAGTCACTGTTTAGACGAATAGAAAAGTCCTTAAATGTTCGGTCTAATTAAAACTGGTCATAGAGTCCGCTTTTCCGCAAATTCTTCCAGCCAGGGTCCGCGACGGATGCAAGAACTCGCACGCTGATGAGTGCTTTCCTAGCCCGAGGTCGGTCACTTTGAGGAAAACCGCTGCCAGGCGTCAACTGCGACGTTTCCGGACCACTTGCTTCTCGCTCGTGCAAAAACAACCGAAGCGAACACAAGAATTTACATCCCGGACAAAATGATACTCGTGCGTGCCAGTTTCCACGGAACAGGAACAGCAATCGCGGGAAAAGAAGCAGAGCGGGGTCAGTATCACTCGCGTTGCGAGAATTTATTTATCAAGTAGAGCTCATTTCCGTAGAGCATCAAACACATTTATTAAAAATGAATCGATCGATCGATGCTCAATTCTGGACTGTACAGCTTTCATTCCAACAAGAAACAATAAAATTTCTGTAATTTCATTTTCCTAAACCTGTTGGTAAAATGGTAATGGGGCTCTAGAGCCCCAGAAAAATGGGCCGAAAAAATACATTGGATGTATGGTCTACTCGTATATCTCGTCTATGATAGAATTTCTATACCACTGTATGGCGCACCGTCGATCATCGCCATAGTTCGTTGCATGTGTTACCTGCTGCACAGTCTGCAGCTGATGCATG